CATCCATCCATCCATCCATCCATCCATCCATCCATCCATCCATCCATTCATCCATCCATCCATCCATCCAGCCAGCCATCCAGCCATCCAGCCATTCACTTTCTGAACCGCTTATTCCAAAATGGGGTTGCGGGGGGACTGGAGCCTATTCCAGTATTCAATGGGCGAGTGGCAGGGTACACCCTGGATGGTCATCACAGGAACAAACAAAGACAAATAACCACGCACATTCACTCCTAAGAGCAAATTGGAATGTCCAATCAACCTAACATGCAGGTTTTTGGACGATGGGTGGAAGCCGGAGTACCCTGTGAGAACCCACGCAGACACAGGGAGAACATGCAAACTCCACACAGAAAGGTTCCGGTTCTACCTGGGACTCAGACCCAGAACCCTCTTGCTGTGAGGCGATGGTGCTAACCACCACACCACCATGCCGCCCCTCAAGTGCTCCTTCTTACCTTAAATATTATTCTGTAGTAATGAAATGGATGCAATACGAAATAATGGTGCTACTCAGAACAACAACAAACCATCTGAAAAACAGGAAAATAAACCTGTGTGTGTGTGTATTTTATTGTGTGAGTATTTGCTAAATCTTTCTATGCTTAAAGGGTCGTGCTGGTGCAGATGGTTCCCGTGGGATGCCAGGAGAGTCAGGCAGCAAGGTACAAAGTCACTGACTATGAATGATTAACATAACTTAGAATAATGTGTATCGTCCATAATTAACACATGCAAAAATTGTGATGCCTGATTGCATCTGCACGGTGTTCCTTTATAGGGTGATCGAGGCTTTGATGGACTTCCTGGGCTGCCTGGTGAAAAGGGACACAGGGTAAGACTAAAGTTTTCTCTTCGCAAAGGTCATGTATTATAGAAATTTACTTTTTAAATGTTTTCTTGTTGTGATGATAAGAGCTTCGATTCTATCAAACTCAAAGCAGATTTTCAAGGACCCTGCATAAACTTGAATTCTGTGTACCTCAAAAGTGACTCCTTCAGACAGTTTTGGGGCTTACAAGATGAGCCTAGTTTGTAATGTGTTCCATGTGTAATAAGTAATAAAACTGGCATCAACCCAAAATCCCATAGGTTCTGGGGATTTTGTCCTATGAGATTTTCGAGTACGGAAGCGCATTGATTTAAAAAAATACTTCCATCCAGATTTGAGCGGATAGCTACTGTAGTTTCCATACCCGGTTTTGAGTGATCACAATGCGAAAGTGCAATGAAATCGCCCTTTATGCCATTATCGAATCGAAAGCTGTAAATCGAAAGCCAACTTCAGTCTCGTAAGAAGAGGTTAATTAATGTCTACGAGTAAATAAAAACTTTATTTATGACTTTGATTTAATTACAATTGTGGCTTTGTTTAATTTTTTCTGTGACTTCGTTACGTGGCAACAGAAAAGCTGACGTGGCTGACGTGCCTGCTTGAGTTGTTATTGTTGTTATGCTAGCATGTAATTCCGTAAAAGATCTCATAAGTATGAGATCTTTTCTCGTAATAACGAGATAAGTTGTCTAAAAAAAGTATTTATTTTCTGTAAATGCAATGCCCTTCCGTAGTTGTGGCATGTTTTTGGATATTAGAAAATGTATATTTTATTGTAATCACTAGTAAAGTCTTTATCTTAAAATTTCCACATAAAATTATTCAGAAATCTACTTAAATGTGTCTAATTGCTGGGACTTGATGGAATTTAGTGAAGATGAATACAGTGTTCGGTGTCCCTCATGAAAGGACATATTGAATGAGTCAGATTGAAATGATGAGTGCACCCTGTGGCGGAGTTATCAACTCAAATGCATAGATTTATTTCTGTTTAATCCAAATTAATCCCATTTTCATTGCCTTTCACTTCATTTCACCATTTTCACAACAGTTTATTGGGCTACATTTGTCCAGTTTTTAAAAAAGAATGTTTATTGATGTATTCCAATGTATTCCAATGTAGAAGCCAAGAAAAGCTTGAACAAAAGTCTGTTCAAGTCAAATGTGTAAATGTGTGAACTTGACTAAGCCTAAATAAAACTCTGCAGCAAGCTATTTTATTTCATCTTCCACATTCCTCTTTCTCAGGGAGAGCCAGGCCCCATGGGACCAATAGGTTCCCCAGGAGAGGACGGGCAGAGAGTGAGTGCTTCTCATTTCATCTTACCACTCTTAAAACCTTCAATAAAACTGCCCTTAACAGGAACCCATCAGTGACACCAGTTATGTCCCACCATCAGCAGCTGGGAGGACACAATGACCTGAGGAGGAGGACAATTTATGTTTAACCTTTCCTCCTAGTTAAATAAACCACCCTAACCTCCCCCAGTCCAACCACCCTAAACTATAAGTCAACTGCTGGCATGAGATTACATTTTGTCTAATGAATGCTTTTAAGAAGCTGTGAGGGTTGAAATCTTTATTTCTGTGCTTTGCATTTAGAAAGAGAAGCCTAGTGCACTATTCACAAATCTGATCCTCTGATAAAACGTTTGTCTGTCTCTATCTTTCTCAGGGTGAAGATGGAGAGATTGGGCCAAGAGGATTAGCCGGAGAGAGTGTAAACCTTAAATTTTGTTGATGTGGTTTTCTAATTTTAGCCAGCCTAAAAGAAATATCCATCAGGTTGAAGGATTTGCTCTCAAAAAACTTGTTGTAAGTAAACTGAGCACAGAACAAATACAGTTTTATTTAAACTCTTTCTTTCTCTTCCTTATCTGTGTTAGGGTCCCAGAGGTCTGCTTGGACCTCGTGGTCCCCCAGGACCCCCTGGATCCCCTGTGTGTAGCCTGACTTTTGCTTACCCTTTCTGTCATATGTCCTCCTTTAACAAAAATTAGCCCTGTAACATCACAACTCTTGTCTGATCTGTCCTCCTCAGGGTGTTGCTGGAGTTGATGGACCTTCAGGTCCCAAAGGAAATATGGTACATACACAACATTTGGGCAAGATACTGACTAAAATTAGCTTCAAAAGATTTCTGCAAAGCTTCCATCTACCATCAGTACTTTGTCCCCAACTTTGTCTCACAACGTGTACTGTTTGCATGAGACAAGTATAGGTATTTTTGAGAAGCACAACTGTGAGGTTAAAACAAAGTATTAAGTGTTTAGTTTTTCCACTGACTATGTTTTGTTTTGTTTTGTCAATAGCCTCCACATCATTAAATATGATTGCAATATGTTTTGATCCTCAATTTCAAAGGGAAGCATATTTGAAACATAGCCTGAGATTAGCTTAGCAAGTTTAATGATTTAGGAAGCCCACAGTATTAGGCCATCCATTTACCAGTAAACAATCTGGGTTTCGGTTGTATACACATGATATACTGTATTCTTCAGTGTGTGAAAAAGAAGGGCTTTCCCTTCAACTTGAGTATCTTAAATAAATCGGCTTCAGTTAAGAGGTAATAATTCACTTTGTGGTGTGGACTTGCTATTAAGGCCCATGCGTCTAACTTAAAAACAGACTTTGCAGTTTGTGGATTTTTTTTTATGCTTAACCTTGTAATTCACTTTCATTTGTAACGTATACTTTTAACATTGCTGTTTAAGTTTATCTGCCAGTGGAGCCTCAGGAAAGCTTTTTTAGACTAACTTGATGATTGATTAATTTGTTGGTTGATTGCTTTATTGATTGATTGATTGATTGGTTGATTAATTGCTTAATTTATTTATTGATTGATGGATTGCTTGCTTGCTTGATTGGTTGATTGATTGATGTGTTGATCGATTGATCAGTTGATTGATTGATTGATTGGTTGATTGATTGGTTGATTGATTGATTGATTGATTGATTGATTGATTGATTGATTGATTG